TTTTTTTTCGGCAACAGTCGACGTCGTTGAGGGATGCGCTGCCGCATTCGACTTCTGATTAGGATTGTAGAGGCGTTTTGAAGGCGTATATAGCCTATACAATGACTTACGGTGATCAGCTAATATAAATACAATTCAGAATTTTATTGCCACCATCAGACGAGTCTGGTACGAATTAGCCGACAAAATGGTGAGGAATGGAAACCCTGCTGCCCTGGGCGGGTATCGATTGGGGATTCGATACTTGGACCATACGCGTACAGTGTGCACCATTTGCTACTACACCTTTTCGCCTTCTTACATATTAACAGAAAACAGTTCCGCCGCAGCTAGCAACAATTCTGCCTGGTTGAGAGCCAACGAAGGAAGGAAACAATGTAATGGAAAGTTGCCGAACATTCACCATCCCCAGAAGAGTGCCTCTGACCGTGAACTTTGCTGGTTTCTAGAAAGAAAAACCATGCTTAATGTATACAAGACGTGTATTGTTTATGCCTAGGATAGGTTCAATGTCAACAATCCTACTAATACTTCTGAGAACGGAAAATGACTCAAAATGACAGAAACAAATTCATGAGAGTAGGTAACCAAAAATGGTAGCCCATTTACCCTTGACCGATTCTGGATTTCTGGAATGTGTTCATTCTCAATTTTCCCTAAGAGTGATTCCTATGACGCACCCTCCATTCTTCATTTCCATTTTCCATATGCGAAAACTCGGTGAGAGTTATTTTCGAAAACCGAACCGAATAAAAGATAAATGATGGAAGAAGTTTCGGTCAGTGCAGGCAGCAACAAGGACTTTGGAAACGAAAGATAACCGTGACGAAAAAAAAAAAGAAATGGAGTGGAGCTGTTCAAATGAATTTCCCATCGCTTGATTGTTCCGTTCTCTCTCATAATTTCCATTCACCATTTACCTTTAGTGATCAACAGCTCACTTCAAGAACTTCACTTCTTACGACCATACTCGACAGTTTAACCGCCACGCGCAAAAATCGATAATTTTGATCGGGATCGATCCATTGATATCGTTCGAAATCGACGGGACGAAGTGAGACGATGGAGAATCACCAGAAGCCCGTTTCAATCTGCATCGAGAAGTTCAGCTTCACTGTCTAGCCGAAACCAATTTTACAGTTGGAGAAGTTGTAGCTGTTTGCCTCAACAAGGTATACGTATCGATTGCTGTCCAACCTTTACTAGAAGACTGTGTAGATGAGTAAGGCAACGTTCAATCACTTCGGAGGAAAATGGTCCGAAACCGTGAAGGTTGGCCAAGGAACTGCTTGTGAGTTATCGTAATTGATGCGACAGCACCAAATGGTACCAAAGTAGTAAAAAAAACTGCTGTAGACAGCAATTCAAGAGTCCTCAGTGGGGAGCTCCATCCCATAGATGAAAGGCAGGAACTACAGAAATCATCCTTGTAGATACTTCAGGTCAATAAATACTACGAAGGAGAGGAAGCAGATCGTATACTGCTCAAACCATGACTAAAAAATGATAAGGACGGGTTATACGGCAGTTATAAAAGCCTGCATTGGTGGAACTGAAAGTTATG